CAGGTTCAAAATAAGGTATAATGCTGCAATGATATTGAGGTTTAAATCTCCCATTTTCAATGGTATTCAACATTTCTGAGGAGTCTGTTAAGATGAGACAGTTAAAACCAACATTATTGATTTGGAAAACATGGAAATAAACAAACGAAATCATGAAGAAGACATAACTAACAGTCCATTTGTTTTAATGTAGAACTTTTATGATTATAGTAATACTGGTGTAACACCACTTTTTAATATATTGTGCTGCTGTTAATACTTATGGCTACCTTGTGACACTGGTTGACAAAACGTCACAAGCAGTGCCATGAATACTAATAATAATAATTCGTTGTATACGTATTCACAGTTACCAAAACGCTGAAAAGAAGCGAATTATAGAGCACAAGTGTGTTCCTATTTCTAATGTCTCTACAACTTTGCCTCTTTATAATGTAAGCTATTAATCACCTCTATTTACACTTTTCTTTTTGTTTCTCTTGCCCTCGCAGTTGTCCTTTTTTAATGATACTTTTTCCAGTTTTCTGAATGGCATTGGAGTTTTTGAAAGTAAAGAATGATCATCGCAGTAAATTTTCCAATTTAAGCAATTGGAAAGAAGAAGCCTGAAAAAAATTAGGGCTTCAACGGGATCCGAACCCGTGACCTCCGCGAATACCGGTGCGATGCTCTACAGTATTTAAGCAATAGGAAATAAGAAGCTTGAAAAAAATCAGGGCTTCAACGGTATTCGAACCCGCGACCTCCGCGAATACCGGTGCGATGCTCTAGAGTACCGGTATTCGCGGAGTTCACGGGTTCGAATCGCGTTGAAGCCCTAATTTTTTTCAGGCTTCTTCTTTCCTATTGCTTAAATTAGGAAATCTACTGCGATGATCATTCTTCGTTTTCATCTACAACCGCAGTTCAAATATGAATTATTTCATGTATTCTTCACATCATTGAAGTTTTTGTTAGCAGATAATTATTGTTTTGGAATATTTTTGTCTTTTTTACTATTTTTCTCTTTTCTTTAAGTCATAAAAATGTAAAATCCAAGATGACTTCATCTGGCCCGCACAACCCACACATAGCCATTTTAATTTATAGAGCAAGCTGTTAAAGGAATTATGCTTTTGAGGTCTATTGCCTGCCATTTTCGATATGCAAATAAAGTAGTCAGTAGTATAAAACTATTTGACATTTCGATCAGGTGTAACCCGGCTTCGGTAGTAAGGCAAGGTCTGGGTTGATTTGTGATCATAGAAATTTGGTACTAGATACATGATACCGCCAGAGAATAACCGCATTTGTAGCAAAAGTAGCAAGTTTTGTATAAAAACAGAAACAACTGAAGCCTCGCTTCTGCTTAAAGGCTGGATCACTAAAAGGACATAAAATTATACGATGGATATTGCCCAGTTAAACTTTATGTCTGTGTTTAAAACCATAGGTTATAAATTTTGAAGTCCTGTATTTTGCGTTCTTTACGCCATTCGCTACTAGCGAATGGCATTCGCTACTAGCTACTAACTGTTTTCTTTAAGCTGAGAAGTAACTTTTCGTTATGATAAAAATTTGCCATGCCCTTTGCAAAACTCTACAAATGCTAATTAAAACCGAAGATCTGAAAAATGTTTTGCCTCACACCTGTATATTTACTGTTACTTCTATCTGACATATATTATTTCTTTTTTTTATATATAATACATTACTCCTCAGAAAGAATTCTTATAGGCTGTAAGATCTTAGCGGCGGTCGAAATGGCCACCGATACAATTGACAATTGTTCCTGAATCTTTGAGGTGTCATTAGTGTTCAATGCATTTGAGACGCCGCTAAATTTGCCTGCAGTGAGAACATGTTGAAACACAGCAGGGTTGGGATTCGACACTCTGGAATCTATAAAAGCCTTTCCCACTTGAGTCAATTGGTTGTTTAGCGCCTGCAATGTTACCGACTCTGCCTTTTCTTTGTTGCTTGTTTTAAGAACTACGGACACAAAAGAATCACACGCTCTGGCAAACTCACGAAGGGATCTGTTGACAGCCGACAACCCATCAAGTACACGTTTGTCGTTGGGAAACGAAGTAGAAAGAGAGATAAGACTAGACTGCGCCTGATGTAAAGAATGGTTCAGCCGCGGTAAGTCCAGGGGGATGATACGGGAGTCGGCTAAATCCAAAAGCATGCCTCCCATAAGTAAAGTCATGGCACGGTGAATTTCAAACTTCGGATCAGCAAATTGCTCCACCCAGTAAAAGGTGTCTTCTTGCGTATGGTAAGATGGATAAAGTTGCCAACCACCCTTGTCCTCGTCATAACCAAAGAAATAACTGAAATCTGCAGATGGTATACCTGCCATGAAATAAAAAGGGATATAATCACTCAAGAACTGGTAAGGCCATAGCTTCGGTTCACCCGGGGTTGAGGGCTTCGGTCCGCGCTTCAACATGACATCATACATAGATTCGTACTTCCCTTCCTCAGTAGGAACCTTGACCATTTTTGTCCACTTGTAGATAACACTACTGAGCAACGGGCCTGTCTGGGCCAGAAGAGTGTAATTTCCCTGAACAGGAACATCGGTGTTCAAGTACGCGACACCTCGTTGCTTGAAGATCAAAGAGTTTTCCTCCATCCATTCGACAGAGCCAATCAAGCCAAATTCCTCTCCTCCAAAGTTGCACAGTTTTATGGTCCTCCGAGGCCTCCAGCCCTGATTCAAGAGCCGTCCCAAGACTCGGCCTGTCTCTGTCAGGACCGACATCCCAGTCAATGCGTCAGCGGCACCGTAAACCCATGAGTCCCGATGATTTCCTAGAAAAACGTAGCGGTTGGGTTCCAGCCGCCCAGTAATGGTGCCAATCACATTATAAATTGTCCTTTGAACTAGCTGATTGTTGATACTTAACTTGATTGTTCGGTTCTCTTTCTGAAAGCCTTGATTGAATCGCAACGTGAGGTTGAGTTGTTTAAGCCATTCCGCAGGTATCTCATCCCCTGCAAAAATAAAATAATCGATACGATTTCATGAGAAACTGAATTGCAAACAACACTCTAATCAAGGTAACGGCCCAATAGCGCGTAAACTTCCCCTTTCCCTCGTATCAACACTGAGGAGTTTTCGCACTAAAAGAGATTTTGACAAGGACCTCGAAATGGCGCGAAGATGATTATTTGCATTCTTTCCAATAATCAACTAAAGTAAAATCCATGCGGCACTAGTTTGAGTCCAAGTGTGAGGGAAAGCGGCCCATTTCCACAGAATGTAGCGCGTACAATATTTTGCTGTTTGTCGGACTTGCAAGAAACAGATAGCCTCTCAAGCTGTACAGGGGATTATGTTTGAGAGAAAAAAAAATACTTGCCTCCAGCTTGCTCTAAGAGAAAACGCGCAGTGCCATAAGAGATGGGTTGTAGAAGTATTGGTAGAATATCTTTCCAATCCTTCAATGCCTTCTGATAGATTCCCTCTTGAGAAGGGAAGCTCTTTGTCAACGGGTCTCCAAACTCGCTATAAATCCCTGCAAGTGGCACTGCTTCAGAAGAGAGCCATGCCGCGTGAGGGTAAGTTGAACTCCGACCAAGGCCATCCGGAGCGAATCTTTGTGGATCTGGGTACATAAGTAGCCCTTTAGCACCCTTGCTGGCAGCCAATTGAGCCTAAGAGAAGATTTTTAAAAAAATATTTGATTGTTTTCCAATCAAGCCAGCTAAGAATTGAATCAGCATAGATGTGCATTTCTAGGAAGCTACTGCCTTCCAAAATGACTGAATTACCCTCCCTCTTTATAGGACCACCTTACAGTACGCGTACGGACTCCAGGCCTAGACGTCTTTCCAGCCTATAAATGAGACCTAGGGATTTGAGTCTCAGATTACATCAAGGGATAATTGATCTATAAAGAACCAAAACAACTATTTATCCTTCGGTCCCTAGGCTAGCTCAAAACGTTCATCTTTCTTAAGGATTCCCGTATATACTTCGAGATTTTAGAAAATTGAACGGACAAGAAATGACGAGGATATATAATTTTCTCTTTTCAAAACGCTGTGTCCTCTATGGAGTGTCCACATAAAAAAAAAGAAAGAAGACTTAAAAATCTGTTCCCATGAATCCAAGGATTCACATAACAGTCAATGTAACTAAAACTGTACCTACCGTGTTATAGAAACCGAAATAATTCCTTGAAAGTAAGATGGTTCCATTAAGAGATATGTTACGTTTTTCCAACTCTTCTAAGTCTTTTTGAGTTCCTTGGTTGACGTAGACAAGTTTACCTTCGGCAGTCCCATTGCGAGAATAAGCTGTATAGGGCGTGAACAGTGACGTGTTTTTAATTCCAGGACCAGGCGCTATCTAAGTGGATCAAAAGTATAATGTAACTATTCTTCAGTGATTACTTATTTTTGCTAGAAAAATCTAGAGTCACATCAAAACAATATCACTTGGTAGATGGCATGCTCTCTTTCTTTACAATGCACTTACATATAATTAAAAAGAGCTTTCGTGTTTAGTGATCAAGGTTGCTTGCCATTTAAGCGGAGAAACCGGTTTGTCAATGGTTTGTGCAAATGGTAAGCAAAAATACCTGGTGATAAGTTCCGCCCGGATTGGCCATTTACCATTTAGTTAACAAACCCAGTTTACCGAGATAGCTTAAGATGAGTTGGAAAGGAACATAACTGCAAGATGGCGGCTGGAACTGGTGAAGAATTGCAAGTGGTAAGCATATTTTCCATATTCGGATATTTCGGTTGGAAATGTTTGGACTACCTTTCAAGAAGTTCCTTTCATTTTCTAATCGGTCGAGCCAAAATTGACTTACCATTTACATTCTGACCGAAATTTCCGGAATTTTTTGGGTAAATGGTAAACAACCCAAATAATTATGATTTACTCCTGCTTCTTTATCGAGGAAAAGCTCGTCTAGAAGTTAATTAGGCCTTTCTGTTAGCCTCCAGTAAGGAAGAACGTTGGACTATCAAAAAGAGCATTAGCGAAGGACGCGATATTTTTTTTGCGGGAAGGGGGGGGATGAGGGGAGAGGCCTTGTCCACGCGATCTCTGTTCTGCAATTCAAGAGGGTCAACAATTAGTTTGGCGGGACTCGGGATTGGAAATTTTTTCGGTATCTGAGAACCCTATTGTAGACCCTCACTCAAGGGTGCAAGAAAAAAATAACGTCTCCATGAGAACCCAAACAGCCGTTCNAAAGAGCTTTCATGTTTAGTAGTCAAGGTTGTTTGCCATGTAGGCGGAGAAACCGGTTTGTGCAAATGGTAAGGAAACATTCTTGGTGGTAAGTTCCGCCTGGATTGGCCATTTATCATTTAGTTAACAAACCAAGTTTACCGAGATTACTTAAGATGAGTTCATTGTCCACCCGATTTCTGTTCTGCAATTCAAAAGGGTCAACAATTAGTTCGGGGGGATACGGGATTGGGAATTTTTGGGGGATCTGAGAACCCTATTGTGGACAGTTCTACAAGATAACTTCCTTAGCAACTCCCTTGGTTTTTGGAACAAACTTGGATTCAATTCTGCCCTATTCTTCTCCATTTAAAATGTTCCTGGAAGCTCCATACTAACACAAAAAAGACACAACTCTTTAATACCTGCGCCTAGGAACATTTAGGCCATTTAATAACAATTTACGAATCTCCTGCCAACTTATTTGATTTATATGGCAGAAGTGATACTCAGTCACACAGCGTCATTGAAGAGTATCAAAAACGTGCCGAAGCATTCATGGGCGGGAAGAGCTTGTAAGTGTTTCAGATATTGCAGGGAGAAATGTATTAAATGTTCAAGACGTTGAAAAACAGCCTCACCGTTATCTGTTGCGTGACGTTTGTAACTATTGTCCCATTTTCTGCCACGATTGATATGATGTTTGGGTCATCTTCTATTGGAAACGATAGTAACACTTTGTAACTTGGTAGTTCCACATCGTCAATCCCGTATTTACGCAATTTTTCTGCCAGTACCTGAGCTAGTTCGTGTTGCCTCTCGGTTCCAGCTAAATGAGGCTTCTGAGAATATAATCTGAGGGACAACAACAGTCGAGGTCAGACTAAATATAATACAATATACTGTGTTTAAGAAATGACCCGAAGGCGACTTTCGCAGTTATTAGGTAACGCAAGATATTATCTCGCTACAATCTTAAACAATTTAAATGAAAAATTAAGAACACCCCTCCCTCAATTCCAAGGATGGAAAAAATGGCGCGTTTTGGGTTTAGTGCCAGTTCGTCATTGATTCGGTGGGAAGGGTGGTTTTATTTCATTATTTTTATTCTGACCAAGATTGTAGGTACGCAAGTACAAAAAAGCGCTGATCCCTTTTAAAGAGTCGCCGCTACTTTCAGCTTTTAGGGGACTAGCTACTTTCAGGAAGCTAAAACGTCAACCACAGTGTCTTCAGAAATAACATTCCACACTTAGTTTCCGTTTCTTTGAAATAAATAAAGAAGTAATGATTTGCCGAAAATGGTAGTCAGGTACTACACATACTGGAAGCAAAATACACTGTCGCCCAAGCCCCAGCCGCAAAATGGAACTTTACCACAAGCAAACCCGAGTGGAACTAACCGCAAGCTAGCCGGGTGGAAATAACTGCAGCCAAACCTGAATGGAACTACTGGGATGGAAATAACGGCAAGCAAATGTGAATGGAACTAGCCGCAAGCAAACCTGGGTGGTCACGGCAAGCTAACCGGGGTGGAACTAACCGCGAGCAAACATGACTGGAACTAACCGCAGGTAAACCATTGTTACCTTATATAAAATCGTGAAATGTCTAATATGGTTCAGGTCCTTCTTATGTATGGTTTTCCCACTTTATAACATGTGGTCCAGCATGGCTGATTTTCTACCTTGTGACAGGGTCGTGCAAAGGGGCTATATTGAGTTGAATTCTGTCAGAGCATTTACGAAACGGAAGGCATCCCTCTTAAGCCCATAAATATACACCCATTACTTCTCGTTAATAAATTTCGTTACTAAACTTCGTATACTAACAGCTGTGAGAGTTTTCGCAAATGTGAATTTTGCTCATCATCTCAGTGTGGCCGGTACATGTATGGTTGATAGTGCCTTTGATGATACGTGTAAGACCAGGTCCTTCTTCAGGGTGATAAAAGGTCAATTCCTTTGTGTAGTCAGTTAACCACATAAAACCCATGAAATAACTGTGAAATCAATTTGAAATTTTTGTTCGAGTTAAGCCGCATCCCTGAAGAGCATGTTAGGTCAGTCATGCAATCTTTCATGCACGAAATATTTCCTTATTGACCTCCCGGAAAAGGATGGGTTCTTCAACTTCCTTCAATATTCTGTGAAACCGTGGTAATCGCAGTGTTTGTGTCTACGAAATACGAAACTAGAAAAAAGAAATTCATTTCGCTGACAACCGTTTCACAGCCATTATTATGGCTTTTAAATTCTTTCCCTATTACGGCGGATAATTCGTATTTTATTTCTTTCGAAAAAAAGAGGCACTAGCGTATTTTCTCCCTCTCTCCCAAGCTACATGTTATAATTATTCTAAAATTTAGAAAACAAAATAAACAAGCCAAAGTTGGAACCAATCAAGCCAGAATATCTTTTCTGTTTAACATGTCTCATTCCAGTGTAGAAATACGAAAGCGACAATGGTACACTTCATTTCACTGATAATCGTTTCAAATTTCGAAATTTTCACAGCTTCATAGGTCTCATAGTAGTTGTGCCATTCTTCTAAAATACTCTAATTAAGCGCTTTATAAACATTTACCTATTTTCCTCTTTAGACCGACGAAAAAATCTCTCTTTTTCCCCAGGCTACGTTTTGTAATGATTCTTTAATTAAGAAAACAAAACCAAAAAGCAATTCAAAAGGGGGAAACCAATCAAGGCAGAATTCCTTCCTGTTAATGTCTGCCCAGCTCAGACAAATGAAACCGACAAACGGAGCCGCCAACGTATAGGGAACAATTCTTCGTTAATAATATTGGTTTTTTAAATGTAATTACTATAAATACCATCAAAAATTACGAAAGTGTCAACTCACCTCACGTTTTCTCTCAACTCCGATGTGCTGACGTCCTCTTCAAACTGGTTAAAGGCTTTGGTGACGTTGAATTGGTAACGACTGCGTTGATCATCGCAGCTGGTCGTCGACGAGCCGTCTTCGTTGTTGGTCTTGTTTGCTTTCAAGAAATAGCCAAGAAGAAAACCTCCAGAGGCTGAAATCAAACCCACGAATACAACGATCAAAATAATTTGTCGCTTTTTGAGATAAGATCCTTTAAATGAAATATCGGAAGAAACCGAAGACGCAAGACGCAGTTTTGAACTAGTCAACTCCATTCAGGATAGAGCCCGTTCAATAAATCTTGGTATCGCACAGGAGCTCCACAAGCAATCGAGACTTGCCCTGCAGTAAATACCACCAGTCGAGAAATGAAATCAGATCAGTTGCATGCAAGCGGTGGATGTCAAA